TGGTTCACGCCTGTAATCCCAGCTCATTGGGAGGCTGAGGCAGGAGGATCACAAGGTCAAGGTCAGCCTGGGCAAGTCCCTGTCTCAAGATAAAATTTTAAAAAAGGGTTGGGGATGTAGCTCCGTGGCAGAGTGCTCCTGGGTTAAATCCATAGTACCCTCCCCCTCAAAAAAGTCACGCACATCGAAGAAAGACTGTTTGACCTTGACCTAGGACAACAAAAAGGAGGGGCAGGTATATTCTAGGAGGAGGAGTATACTTGCAAATGACCTTGAGTTGGAGGAAAAATGCACCCCATCACACTTACCCTCCTGTGGGACCCTGGCCACCCTGGTGCTTTAAAATGTGTGGTCCCGTGTGTCTCTTTCAGATCCTGGCTCTGCAGACAGAACAGCCCAGAAAAGAAAGTTCCCCAGCCCCCCACATTCTTCCAATGGCCACTCGCCGCAGGACACCTCGACAAGCCCCATTAAAAAGAAAAAGAAGCCCGGCTTACTGAGCAGCAACAGCAAGGAGCAGGTAAGGCCGCGGCCGGGCGCGGCGTGGCATGGGCCGCCAGCGGGCAGCCGTGCTCCGTTCCTCGGGGCCGGGCTTGGCATCTGTTCAGCAGGCTGCCCTGGCGCTGCCTGCCATTTGCATGTGCAGAAAGGGCAGCTCAGAGGGGCTGTGGAGGTGCCCAGCGGGTTCTCAGATCTGTTTGGGGACAGAGCAGTGACCCAGAGGAGATGAGGATATTGTTCTCGGGGCCGGGCTTCTCCCTGGCTTCACGTTTCCCTACGCTGAGGACTGTTTCCCCTGCTGGCCATGCTGGGCGACACAGCTCCCTGCCCGTCTCGTTTTCTCATCTGTAAAATGAAGCGTGTGGGCCCCTGGTAGAGGCGTGGCCCAAGGGTCACCTCCCCTTCCCCTGAGCACAGGCTCCCCGTCCCCTTGGCTGACAGGACTGTCAGGGGCTGGGAAACCTCTTCCCCATCCTGGGGCTCACCTCGGGAACCTTCTGGCTCTAAAATTCTCTAGTGCAGCTTAGACATTCCAGATAGGGGGCGTGAGAGCTCTGTGTCCACCCCTGTGTGGACTGCGAGGTCAGGAGGCCTTGAGTGGTTCTTGGGCTGCGGTTCCTGGCGACCCGGCTCGTCTGTTCTGCGCACTGTCGGGCCCTGCAGTGGGCCCTGGGATGGCGGGTAGAAGCAGACGAGATTGCTGCCTTCACGGGAAGAGCCCTGCCAGGGTTAAGGGCCCGGCCTGGGAGAGGCGTGTGTCCAGCGCAAATCTATTTTCATTCTCAAAATTACAGAGTGAACTGCCAGCTCTGCCTCGGGCCTGTGACTGTGGGCACGAGGACCTCCGGGAGTCTGGTTTCCTCGTTCTCGGGGTTGGGCACGCCCCGGGGCTGTCAAGGAGACTCGTGGAGCTCACGCACAGGGCAAGAGCAGAGTATGATTTGACGCTCGACCTGGGAGCCAGGCTGTTTCTGTGGCAGTGTCCTAGGCTCCGCGGTCTGCCGCCGACACTGTCACGTGGGGCTCGTGAGCCCTCGAGGTGGACCAGTGTCAGAGAGCAACTTGGCCTTTTCCATTCTGTTTAAAGTGACGTGGCTGCCTGGGGCTGGTAGCTGCCTGGGGCTGGTGGCTGCCTTGCCAGTTAGGGATCCCGTCGGAGGAGGAGCAACTGGGGGTCCCACGTGTGTTTTCAGGGGCTCTTGGAAAAAAATACTTGGAAATAAAAAGTGTTGATGATGATACCGAAGCAGTGTTTGCCCCAGGTCACCTGCTGTGGCAAACATTTGTGTCAGTCTGAATGTCTGTGTCAGGAAGGGCCGTGTGCGTCACATTTTACAGTTGAAAACATAGAGATTGAATTGCTCCTTCTGTCCCAGAAGCTGGTGAGGACCTGCTGCAGTCGCCCCGGAGCCATCTCAGAGCTATTAGAAAGAAAATGGCGGTCAGATAACCCTCAGCCTTCATGAAACCACAGTTGGCTTCCTGAGCAGCACTCCCTTCCCAGTTCCCAGGGAGTCCTGAGAGCAGACGTCCTTCCTGGCCGGAAGCTGTCCTTTCCTGTCCCCTCCCTCTGCCCGTGCACCCACGCACACCCACGCACACCCACTG